TACGCCACCTCAAAACATACGCGAACTCGACGATGAATATTAAGGTAAGCGAATCTGCTTTCCGTCAACATTTTCTACATTGTGATCGTTAGAGATATGGAGGGAAGTGTGGGAAATTCGAAGCTACTACAGTGCTCGATCGTTTCACCGTTTCTTTGGTTAGAGTAGGTTAGAGTCCAGTGTTTACTTCTCCTATTGAAACATTTCTGAAACTGTAGAGTACATTTTGAAAATTTTCAGTGCGTTTATTTACAGTGACGAGCAAATTTTTCGTGCGGCACACACACTGTCCATCATAAATTTTTGCCTAACTGCTTCTTCGTATTATTTATTTAACCAGCTACTAAGGAAGAAGTCGAAGATTTAGTTTAAAGAATAGAATTCTTTTGAAAAATGTATCTTATTCCAAAATCAAACGAGACACGAGTCAGCGCGATTGTTTAAAGATTAAACTATAATAGCTTCTCCTAGCGATTAATTATTTGAGTAACTCTTGTCAACAATACTTGCGTGACATCGCAATTTCCACAAAAAAATTATTTCGAGAAAATACCAGTTTATCGAACTTTCATGAATGAAAAGCTAGACATTTCATTTCTCGTACCTACTTCCTCAATTCTCCATCAACCATTACCATAAACCACACCATCACTCCAAAAACCACAGCCTCCCAAAAAGCGAAAGAAAAGAACACCATCAAACAATTTCCCAGTCTCACAACGCACCCAACACTCGCACCTCTCCATCGAATTGCAAATTGGTTCATCAACGCCAACTTTCACCGGCAGCTCGCCATCGTCCTGGTGGCACTGGCCACGCAAGCGAGATGCGCGAAGGAGACGAGCAAGCCCGCGGAGGACAAGGACTCCGCAGCTGACTCGACCGAGAAGAAGACGGAGAAGCGTGGTCTGCACGGTAGCTACGGCGACTTAGGTGGCGGAGGTGGTGGTGGTGGTGACTTAGGTGGAGGCGGTGGTTCGTCGTACGACCAGCAAGAGCACGTGAAAGCTGTTACAGTGGTGAAGAAGGTACCTGTCCCGTACGAAGTAACGAAACACGTGCCCTATCTGGTGGAGAAACACGTCCCGTACGAGGTGAAGGTCGGCGTACCTCAACCGTACACCGTCGAGAAACACGTCCCTTATCCTGTGAAGGTGTTCGTGAAGGTGCCTGTGCACGTGCCTCAGCCTTACACCGTCGAGAGGAAGGTGCCTTACGAAGTCAAGGTACCGGTCGATACACCGTACGAGGTAAAGGTTCTGGTACCGCAGCCTTACACCGTCGAGAAGCACATACCTGTGCCTGTCAAGGTGGCTGTCCCGCAACCTTACACCGTCGAGAAGCACGTGCCGTTCCCAGTGAAGGTGAAAATTCCGGTGCCGCAACCGTATCCGGTCGAGAAGCCAGTACCGTACGAGGTTAAGGTACCGGTGGACAAACCTTACCCTGTCAGCGTACCTAAACCCTATCCAGTCACCGTCGAGAAGCCGTACGCGGTACCAGTCGAGAAGCCTGTCCCGTACGAAGTCAAGGTACCCGTGGACAAACCTTACCCCGTGCCAGTAGAGAAACCCTACCCAGTGCATGTCAAGGTACCAATACCACAACCGTACACCGTCTCGAAACCTGTCCCAGTAGCAGTCCCGAAACCGGTGCCCTATCCTATCAAAGTACCCGTCGACAGACCGTACATCGTTGAGAAAGAGGTGCCAATACCTGTCGAGAAGGAGATACCTGTACCGGTGAAGGTACCTGTGCCTGTCGCTATTCACGAGGAACACGGCGGCGGCGGCGGCGGCGGAGGTTACGACGGATTCTCCAGTATAGGAGGAGGCGGAGGTGGTTACTATTCTCATCATCGTTGATTCTATCATCGACGATCGAGACGGTTTCTTCGACGCGTTTGGGATCGTACACCGTATTGCTGGGATCTCTTCTTCGAGCTAAATTATCCCGTCTGTTCTGTCACTTTGTACTCTAGGAAAATTCGAAGAAACACCGTCGAACAAGAATGTTTCAACGTTTAGAAACGTCCCCTCTTCTAACTTCTTTGTATCATTTTGTTTTTTTTTTTGTAAAGGAACCAGAAGGTATCGAGAGGTTGTACGATGGAGGTTGCTGCGTCTCTCGATCCTCCCCTCTTGTAGCTAGTTGCTTCTATTCAAGCGTAACGTGTCTTTCAATTATCTTTTATGTAACTTAAGAAGCTGCTCGAGTAACTGGATGATTTTGGCGATTTCTTGGTGACAGCGTAATTTTCCTAATCCCGAAGTAATTCCGCGTTGAAGCGTCGATAATTGCTTTCGATGCACCCCCCCGTTTGAGTCTTCGGATCGAACGCAGCTGGGCTTCGGATTTTAGTATGAAAATTTTAGGATTCCGTTGGTGTTTGGTAAAATTGTCGAATATTTTTCGGGGACAATTAGGTGAGAGATTTCGAACGATGTAGAAAAAGTCACACATTTGATCGCAAAAAACTTCTGAAAAACGAGCGCAATCGCAGCTAATGCGAAGAAAAATTCCTGCGTCTTATCTTGCTGTTCCAAAGAAAACACTAACACCGGCGTCTAAACGAGCTTTCCGAGCATAAGTTAGCCGATGTGAAGTAAACGCCGCCGCGGAACTGCGGTTCCGCTGCGGCCAAGCACTCTTGTACCTAATTTAAGTTAAGATACTCGAGCGAGGTAGAGTGTCTCTTTTTGTATCAAAGATTTTTAATAAATACTCGTCTGTCATGTAACCACGATCGAACTCCATTTTTCTCCCCTGTTACCTGTATGTCTTTCCATACCTGCAACTTGCCGATTTGTCTATCAACTTCTGTTTCCTACCGAGAAATTATTAATAATTCTTACTTTCTGCTGGCGTTTATTAGTCACAGTTCAGCAAGCTTAATCGACGCGTTTCGAGCATTACTTTCGTACTCTCGTGTGAAAAGTAACGTGATCGTTTAAGAGAATACAGTGTCACTGCTGTCAGTTTTAAATATATTGCATAATTTCTTTAGAATTGAATCAAACGACGTTAAAATTAGTCAAGAGTTTGGCCGAAGCTCCAAGAAATGCTTCAAAAATTACAGTGCGCCAAATTTTTCGAATTTTCACTTCTTTCTTTCTTTAATGTAATTCTTACTTCTTTGATAAAAATTTTAAAAAGAAGGAATTGTATTTTTGCAACGACACAAAGGTGACAAATGATCGAAAAAACGATGGAAGAAGATCTTTTTTCTCACCGGCAAAAAAGCATCGTTAATTATCAGAATTTTCTCACATTAAGCAAACTGCTTCTTCGTATACAGCTCGGTTTCCACGATACGTAAGATTTTCACGCGTTCGGCTGGAAAAAGCGGTAAAAATTTCAGCGCGTTAACGAGCCGACGCTTTCACGAGCCATGTCGGATCTGCCGGAAATCTCGTCCTCGTGGCGAGTTTCACTTTTGCAAAATTTCCCTTTTCGCGCTGCCGCCACTCCACGTGACCAGTCAAACGAGGACAATGAAAAAAAAAAAAAAGAAAAATAACAAAGACGAAAGTGGAAGGAACGTATTACTACGTCGGCGCCTCTTTCACTTGACTAAAGAGCAGGCGAGTAAAAACTAGCTCGAGGTTGAAGAGGATACACTTACTTCCGCATTCACACGATGATTCAACGATTATGAAATATTTCGCACTAGTGTAATATCGTTAACAATTTGAGTGAATAATTTCTAATTGTAAAGGATGTATAAAAATGTTGTCGACATATTTTATCAGAGTGCAAGAGCACAGAAGACACCAGAAACCAGCTCTAAATAGCTGACAGTGTTAAAGAAATATTTGAAGAAAATCTTAAAAAAGCAATCCAACTTATTTATAGAATAAATCTTTATTGTGAAATACAGAATAACAGCCAACTATTTGATGTGACCTTAAATTCAATCTTAATTCCAATCTTAGGTTATATTAAAAAAAAAATGAGTCTTTTTTGTATTAAATTTTTGTACCAATAATTGAAGCTTCGAAACCATAATTTTTCAGGAGCAGAGAAAAATAGAGAGATCCCTTGTGTTTAATTAACATACAATTACTGCCGCGGAAGATGGTGTACACGTGCAAAAGAAATACAGAAAGGAGCATTTTTGGCATTAATTGGTACAAATGAATTTTTAAAGAATTCATTTAAAAAACAATGAACCATCTAAATGTTGCAAGTACCGTATACTGTTTTCTCCTTTTGCACTGCTAGATCGCTCTGATATCAGCAGTAATTATACACAACAGTACTTACAATACAACGTTACGATATTATCTCAGTTTCTAAAAAATTTCCACTTACAACGCTATACTATACAACCCACCAATCCTACGTTAAAAGAAAAATATAAAACAGTCACTAGTATAAATCTATATTCCTCAAAATCGAAAATTTCACCGACAATTTAAAACCCTAATAAAATAATAATTTCCAATCTTACCCAAAATAAAAATTGAATAGAAAAGAAAGATTTAACGAGTTAAAAATTGAAGAAAATTCATTGGAACTTTGAAATCAAGTAACTTCTTTCAAGCGCGTGTAACAACCCAGAATGTTGAAACGATCGTGAAACAAGTGGTTACGTCTCGAGAAATCTGTAACCAGCGGATACGGAACGCGATCGAGAAGTGGAGGGAGGAGAAAAAAAAGGAGATGAACACGTTCGACGTTCGGAGGCCACTTCCGGGCGGACTTTCGATCCCGAGCGAATCTTAATCGTTTCGCGGTGCAATTAAAGTGGTTCGTGTATACGTGCTCAAGGAAGCATTACTTTCTCCCGTGGCTGCTGTGCCGCGGCACAGGCAATACGGATGGATTCTTTCTGGTTTCGATTCACGCGTGTGCGCACGTTTATAGAAAGGTCGGTGTGTTTCATTTCGAATCTGATACCAGACGCAATTTCCACGAATAAAGGAACTTTTAATTTGATCTCTTAATTGTAATTGTTGATACCAGATCGGATCGTGAACGTCATTAATATTAATATATGGTGATTCTCGGTGAGGAGGATTTATTTGATATTGCACGGGTTCGTCGACCTGTTCTTTGGTAATTATCGCTCGAGAAATTATTTTCTGGGACTGTGAATTCTTGTCAGAGATATTCTTGTCAAAAATATTCTAAACGAAGAAACATTCATTTTCGATAGAGAGCGGAATATTGAAATTCTTATCAGAGTACTCGAATTTGGGGAATTCGAAGGGAAACTCTGGATTCTTATCAGAGTGCACTTTCAAAAATATTAGAGACAAAGAAAAGTTCATTTTCGAAAGAAAACTTCAAATTCTTATCGGAAAATACTACAAATAAAAGAAATCAATTTTCCAAAGGAAACCTCCAATTCTTATCAGAAGATACAAATTTAAAAAAATAATGTTAGACAGAAAACTTGCAATTTTGATCGGAAAATACTGCAAACGAAAGAAGATTAATTCCCCCAAAGAAACCTTCTAATTCTTATCCGAAAATATCACAAATAAAAGAAACTAATTCTGCATTAATCAAATCGTCAGAAACGACATCAAGAGTAATCGAATTTCATGATCTTATTCGACAGAGTAGAAATGAAAATCGATGTGAAAGAGAAAAATCGTCGATTCTTGGCAAATAAACCGGGGAAAGGAACAGCGAAGGCAAGGCAAGCACGAATTTAATTAACTCTCGAATATACAACGACCAATAAAATAAATAGACTGCACCAGTTCTAGGAATGACTAATGACGACGTCAGCGATTGTTCTCTCTCTCTCTCGCCGTGTTATGTAAAAAGTTATGCCAGCAGGGAACTACGAATTACAAAGAATACATAACCGAATATGAAAGTGTGTACACAGGCAGTTTTATTAGATAGCGTACGGAGCGCGGCCGCTTTTGTGAAAGTGAAAAAAATCGCGACGATTCTACCATGCGTGAATTATAGCCGTACACGCTGCCATCGACTCCTTCCTGCATCGGGATCCTGTTTACTTCCGGTTTTCTAGCGGCGCTTCGGTAACAGGAGGAAAGTTCCTTCGTCCTTTTTTTTCCTATTCCTTCTCGTTTATCGTCGTTTCTTCTCGCAGTTTCACATTTCAACTTTACCAATCACAGAATTATCCTGCTCGTTTTTTCTTCTTATCTTCTTAAGTGTATCGTTTCTGTTTTCTTTTTTTTTTCTTTTTTCAAGTAACGAGATTAACGTCGCGAACCACGTCGATGAAACTTTAAAGCACTGTCATTAGAGCGAGTAATAGAAGTAATTCCGAAAATGAGCCACTGCGTTTAATATCCTAAAGATCGTCGATGCTGTAAGTGTTATACTTATCGACACCCGATTATTCAATTTTCGTGTAACTCTTATTATATCATCGTTACAAGCATCTGAAATTGGTGATAATATTCTATCTCACTCGTGCAGCTTTCTGCTGTTTATCAGCAAAGATACCTAAAATCTTACTTTCTCGGTATTTTAACGATAGCGCTCGAGTATCCTCCCGCCATTTCTCACAATATTTGAAGTACGAGTACACGAAGAATTTGATCAGAGACGGTGAGATTTTTCACGTGCTTCTCGAACGTTCAGAAAATTTCAAAAATATTGAAATCTTATTTCTTAACTATTTCAATGACAGTGCTCAAGTATCTTCCCGCCATTTCTCACCGCGTACGAAGTACGAGTACATAAAGAATTTGATCAGAGACGGTGAGATTTTTCACGTGCTTCTCGAACATCCAGAAAATTTCAAAAATATTGAAATCTTATTTTTTAACTATTTTAATGACAGTGCTCAAGTATCTTCCCGCCATTTTTCACCGCGTACGAAGTACGAGTACATAAAGAATTTGATCAGAGACGGTGAGATTTTTCACGTGCTTCTCGAACATCCAGAAAATTTCAAAAATATTAAATCTTATTTTCGAACTATCATAACGATGCCATTTAAATTCGCTGTAAAATCATCAACCTCACACCGATTCTAAATAAGCTAATAAACTAATAAACCTCCAATTAAAGACGACAATTAACATAAAAACACCTGTTCACCTTATTCCATCTACACGCCAACAATATTCGCAAAGAAATAGGTAAAAAGGAAAGGTGCGTCGTCGTTATTTCGTGCACGCGTCCCGGGTACGGTTACTTATGGTTTTATATTTATTCCTGTAGAACACAGAGGTACCGTAAGTTTCTCGACTGAATTGCAGTGAAAGCAAGCACGTTATGAACGGTGTTGCTTTCAGCGGAGAACGATCGTCGAACCCGTGTGTTTAGGCCGTTTATATCACTCCTCGTGTCTGCAAGGACAAATAAAATCCTCGAGACCCTCTGTCGTCTGAAATTATCACTGTAAATTCCGTTCCGCCTGTTAAACGCCGCTACATTGTACCACTTTTGCAACGGAGATGAAAGAAAAACCGCGGAGAGCAAAAAAAGTTTAACGCGACTACCGGAAGAACGTAAAGGAATATTGCGGGAGTCCTGTGTGTACCGGAAGTGGCGGTTTCCAAGACTGCGAGCTCTCTTTTTGCGAAATTTTGTTTCTTTTTTTTTTCTTTCTATCGGTTGGATCGCGCGGCCACGCTCGAGCGCGATTAATGAATCTTTCATAGGATGTTTGTTTGGCCACGTTGGGAATTGCGAGATTGATTTTCGAGAGAGAGGTAGAAAGTGCGGAGGAAGTTGAAGGTGGGGACTTTTGAAACGACAAATCGCGCGTTGATTAAGGAAGGAACGTTGTAACGGTCGGTTGCACGCGTGGCGGATTACGAGGGATATCGTAACGATGTGCCTTCTCTCCGACGCAGAAAAATTATTGTTAATTATTCGCGTTGCGAGATTGTAAAAGTTTCTGGGAATTTTCGAGAGTGATAAATGCGTTTGAGTGCGATTGCTCACGTTGGTGGCTCGCGAGGGGCGTTTTTCGTGAAACGCATTCGCGCAATTCTTCAGTTCGGACCTCGACTTTCGGATCTGAGATTCCAAATGAAAAATTTCAGATATCAAATTTAAAATCTCAAGTTTCAAATTCTAAACTTCCAAGTGTACGTTTCGAGCTCTAAACTTCAAATTTCCTCAAATCTACAAAACAACGCGACACGCAAATCGCCCAACGCCCCAACAAAAAACTCCCCCACCTTTAAAAAGACTACCAAACAGAACAAAAGGCAGCGTTCGAAGCGTATTTTTCCCTTTGCACGTAAAACCAAAGGTCGAGAGTGAGAAGCAAAACGACATCCATTGTCGCGTTGGAAATTGAAACAGGACAATGTTGACGAAACTGGTCGAGCCTGTGGCGGCGCGAAAGGAGGGTAGGAGTTAGCGAACCGATGAAAGGAGAGTATCCAGGAGTTTCCGTGACGGGGAGATCTGAATCGCGTAAATTCAGAGGCTGAAAGCTATTATCGAGTTTCCCCCGCGCGGGCATCCGGTTCTCGTCTCTCCCCGGGCTCGCAGGTTCGTTCGTTCGCAGAACCCGGGGGTGGAGCCCCTTTTATCCAATGCCGCGGGTGTCGGGGGCGCGACTGTGAAGCGAAGGCAATTATCGTAGCGAAACTTGAACGTTGCCGGCTTCGAGGCTGGCCAACGACGAGACTCGACTGCTCAGTGTGGGAGTGGAGTGTTTGGCGTCTGATACGACGGGTCAGGTCCCAGGGGATTCTCAGCGACTCAAACGGGACTATCCCGCCGCTCTCATCGCAGTTAATTACGGAGTCCTCCTCGTTCTCCTTCTACTCCATTTCCCTTAGCCCTTCCACGCTCAGTTTCTCTTCGCTCCTTGAACACCCCCGTATCGCCGTCCAGAAACTTCTCCTCTATCCTAACTCTTCGACGATCATCGCCTTTTCATATCTTCTCTCTGTTTCGATTTCAGTCGTATAATTGGAGTAGATCCTCGTAGTAGAGTTTTCCTCGGTGGATGGAGGATGTTTAATTAGTTTCGGCGAAGGTGAAGACTTGAAGATCGATGGAAAAATATCGAAAGGGTTGAGATGCAGGAAGGGAGAGACAAATTTTTAGGGTTCAATGCTGATGGCTGACCAGTAACTTCCTCAATACTTTTGGAAATATCAAAATGATATGTATTACTGTTCGTTTATTTTAATAAACAGCTTCGTTTAACTAGTGCCCAGGGAAGAAATCAAGGATTTATGGAACCCACTGTAAGCCAATTCTTTTTCTTTCAAGTGATAATTAATTATTATTATGAAGAAATTGACTGTTAATAATATAATGCTATAAAGTAACAGTAAACAAATAACACGAGACTTATAAAATATAGATAAATGGATATGTAACTTCCAAGTCACATTACTAACTTATTTGGTAATCCTTGTTTAAAAACTGTATCACGTCTTTCAATAAAGAAAAAAAAAACATAACTCTTCAACAAATAGAGATACCCAAAACAATTCCCTACGTTTGTAAATAATAAACAACAATTACCTTCTTCTTTGTCAAATATAAAACACTCCTCGACTAAAGAACTCGACCAAAAAAGTAAAAAAAGAAGAAAACAGCCCTACGTAAAAATAACACCTTGCACAGGAGACCGTCGATTCAACTCGTCGAATTAAATCAATCTTTTAATTATCCCACCTAAACCACTCCCGTACGATCTATTTCTAACCGCATGAAAGAAGAAGAAAAAAAAGAACGAAATGCACGCGACAAAGTGCAACAACACTTGGAATCGAGTTGAAGCGCACAGGTGCACACGCGCGCGCGTGTAAGTGGCTTCAACAATCAGCGGACGACAGAGGATCCCCCGTGGGAATCCGAGCGAGCGAATCGTAGCGGGATTGAACGCTTGAAATGGAATAATATCCAATAATCTGGCAGCTGAGAGAACGGGATAAAAAGGGACGTTTTATCGGAACATCGCAGTAACCGAGCGAGTTCCCGAACCATTTCCGACCAGGCTCGCTTTCGTCTGTCCCCCGGCAAACCGGGCGAAATTAATTATTGATTTCGGATACGGGCATTCACGGCCCGGAGAGCTTTTAATCGAAAACGAACCATCCGTCCCGTTCGTTTCCGTTCGCCGCGAATCCAACAACGACGCGCTCTAGGAGAGTCAGTGTTACGCCATCAACGCGTCCCTTTTCTTTCATAGAGAACGCCTGCTTCGCAGATAAAATGAGGACACATGGAAAGGACCTCGTTTTTCCCTTCTCTTTTCATTTTTATATACATATAGTTTTTGTTTTGGTAGAGACACACATATTGTATTCTTGTGCAGTGTAAACAAAGTGTCTGTAATTCTACGAAATGCCTCCAAGATTTAAAATGTAAATAAACAACACCTCTGAGACCTGTTTTTGTAATAAAAAAGAAAATAGGCCTTCTCGTGGACATTTTTTAGATGTTTCTATTATGTGTTATTTCCTTGATTTTGAGATTTATTCATTCATGTTGATGATATTAATATATTCGTTCTAGTTCTCTTTGTTACTGACACAAGAATGCAACATGGGATGTCTGTTTGAGCATGCAATGATTCGGCAATTTAAAGATTGCAATTGAAAATAGTTTGGAATGGATAATACATGCGATGCTTTGGAATTAAAAGTAAATATGTTCGTGAAAAGGTTAATAAGAAAACAAATTACGTATTTGTCAACAAGAGTATAAAAAATCATAATGGTACTAGTAACTACGGATGTTTTTAGTATAGGAAAAGGAACTGAGATCTATAAAAGTAGTTTATTACGTGTTACCTTGGTAAGAATAGAAAAACAAGTGTAGGATAGGAAATGCAAGCAGCAACACACGAAATATTTTTCATGCATCAATGGATACTGATGGTGAAGATGGAAGTGGGCCAGAGGTATTTGATTTTGAACGCATTGAGTCTTCTCTTGACGGCGATAAATTTTCGATTAACTAAATTGAAAAATTAAAAAGGTTATGAATTGTAATGAAAGAAAAATAGCGTTGGAAAAACGTGATATTTTATGATGTTAGAATAGTTTTAATAAAATTTAAAAATAGAACCCAAAATTACATATAACACATTACTTGGGTCACATCACGAATAAATGCACAAATACGAAAATTACTAGGAAACGGTATCAAGGATTTTTCATATACCATTAAGAACATGATGTATAATTTACTATTTCTGTTTCAGTTTTGAACAAAAAATGAAAATATAAAACCGTGTAGAAATTACATATTCTTTGAGTGAAAAATGTAGGTATAATTTGCAAATATACAACGTTCGCATAGCACACTTTTGTTGTTCATAAATGTATGTATTCGTATGTTTTAAATGCTCTAACTTTTACGGAATATCTTTAATCACCTCCTGCAATTCCTCTTTTGTAAACATATGAAACATTTTCTCAGGTGTCATTGTCATTACTTCAATATTGTTATCACTCAGTTTGTCCTCCATGACTTGCTTCAATATTACCAAAGCTGTTTTTATTGCTTCCTTAAGGGTCATGGACTGTAAGAATATAACAAACAGTTTAAAAATACTGAACGGTAATTTCATACAGAGTTCCAAACACATCTGGAATATCAGTTATATATTATAACAAATGTGTCACCTTATGATAAACTTCTTGAAGATTTTGTTGTGCACCTTCACTTCCTGAGCCAATAGCTTTAGCATCAAATTGCACAAAAGTCCCTGAAGGGTCCATGTGATACAACTGGGGTCCTTTTTCATCGATGCCAGCAAACAACATTGCTACACCAAAGGGTCTAGACATTGCACTACCATCATCGTCGCTATCTCCAAATTGTATAGCTAAATTGGAAACTGCCTGTGCTGTTGACTCCACAGACATTTTTTCGTTGTAAACAAACCAATGATTTTGACATTCTACTCTAGCACGATCAATCATCGTTCTAGAATCGGCTATTAAGCCAGATGCAGCACATCCAATATGCTTATCAATTTCTACAATTTTTTCTACAGTTGTAGGTTCCATTAAACTGGAAGTAATACGCTTCTCCACAACTAACACTACACCCTCTGATGTTGCAATTCCAATGGCAGTGGAACCAAGTTTTATAGCTTCTATAGCATATTCAACTTGAAATAATCTTCCTTCTGGGGAGAAGGTGTTGACACCATGATCATATTCGGAACGTGTTAGAAACATCTGAAAACAAAAATACATATTTAGTTATGAATTACGTCGTGATCAAATATTTGCATTTGCTTCAAAGCTTTGAGGTTATAATATACGAGTCATGACTTATCGAGAACACTATTACTTTAACAGTGAAATACGGAAACAGTATGCTTCAAATATAATTACGATAAATTTGTTACTCTTGAGTTAATTCACGAATGGCAAAATTAATCAGCAAAAATTTAAACGATACGAGGTTAGTTCGGAATGACATAGCAAATCCAATGAATTCATCTTATAGACATACAAACAAGAAGGATACAAGTCGATTTTAAATTCAGTTACTTTCTAACAATTAAGAATATTTACCTTTAAGGTGGTTTTGTTGTCTCAATAAAAATTACTTAAAAAGTAGTTTAAGCCGACTGTCACAAACGCTAGTCACTGAGTGAGTTGAACTCAATGGCGGGGGATAAATACAGAGACGTATCTCCAATTTTCGGAACCTCATATTTAAAGTAGGATTTATAGCTAACTTCAGAGTGAAGTAACAGTTTGAATATACCTTGAATTATAAATTTAATAAACAATTTGAATGTACGCAATATATAATATTATATTATTAA